TGTTTTATATAACCAGAAGTCCAAATGGAAACGATTGCCTACAAAAGAGGAAACCGATCAGTAGGCTGGGTGGCATGTTTCTGTTGTCGATGTGAATAAGTGCACAAGCTCGCGTCGTTATTTAAACAGGTTTCCGCTGCTCTCATGCAAAAAGCCACATCAAAGGTGCTGATGTGCATCAGCTGCTGCAGCACAACAATATCAACACCTCGCCGGAGTTCTCGCTGTAGGTGCAGCCTTGTAGGTTCAAGGAAGCGGTCCAGCTTGTGCACTTGACTTGCTTTACTGTGATTGAAACTGCAGAGATAATGTAATAACGACGAATACCGGAATAAAGGAGAAGAGTTGCTGATACTACATTTTCTGAGCATCATATCAGTTCATTTTCTGATGATGAATGAGACGCTTGTGACGTAAACAAATTAATACCTCCAAGAAAAAAAGTTCGACTAGACGGCGGTAAAAGCAGCCTGAATTACTGAAACGGGGTGTGGTGTTTTCCAGAACCGTATACCAGAAGTAGTTTTATTTTTATTTTTTTGATACGCTGTAGATGTTTTTTTTTCCTGTCCTACCGCAACGCAGTAGGATTCTTTAATGCATTTTCTATAACAGCAGCTCTGGTAATAGTGCTGGCTGTCCTTCAAATCAGAGGGTTATTCATTTATTAATACGCTCGTCTTTAATACCTTATTGTTTCTACGGTAACAACTCATTCACATGCGTATATATAGCGGACACGCCACATAATCTAAGTTTAATAAAGACAGATTTAAAAGGTGTTACTTAAGATTTGTTTAAGATTTATTGAAGGAGTCTCCAGTGCCAGTGCTTTATAGCATTAATATGATGACTATAAATGGATAAATTGTGTGATGTGTCTTCTTTAATGAATAAAAAAAAAGGTTTTTTTTTAAATTGTAAATTGTAGTCATTGGCAAATCAGGGTCCCTGGAGGACTAGTGGTTAGGCCACGGTGCTCTCAGATGAAGTGCTGAGGCCCGGGTTCAGTTCCCGGCCAGAGAGCCAACCCCAGCCACTGGGACTGCATGCAACAGTGTGCTTTCAGTGCCAATCCCAAGCTCGGATAAAAATCGAGGAGGGTTGCGTCAGGAAGGGCATCCGGCGTATAAATTGCGCCAAATCATGTTTGACACGTGGACCAGTGATCAGCTGTGGCGACCCCTAACAGGAGCAGCTGAAAGTGGAGCAACAACGTAGTCATTGCCAAATCACTGCACTGCAAGCAGTGGCCTGGCCCACCCGAAGAAAATGCTCTTGCAGCTAGGGGTATTGTTCACACTATTCACAAAAACCAGTTCTTGCTCGCTCAGACCTGCTGCTTTAAGAGTCCACACCGACGATGTTGTTTAGCAGCTGGCGTAAACTTCCTGTTTCGTGTTGTGAAAGCCGTGTAGCATGCTAGCTCCATAGAGAGTTCGCCGTCTCTGAAACAGATGCCACGCCATGCCCTTTCCACCTGCCCCTCCTGCACTGTAACCAGAGGAAATAGTCACATGAAATGTATTTGAGATTCTGATAACACTGGAACATGCTGCCAGGGCGCAGACTCGTTTGAGAGTTCACTGAGGATTGCATGGTGCAGCGCAAAAAAAAAAAAAAAAAAAAACCACGCTTATCAAAATGATGACTTTGCACTTTACACGTTATCTTCGGTAAGGAATTACAGTAGGTCTGGTTTCTGTTTCATGGGTCAAAGTCTGAGGCTTTTGCTGTAGTTCTGTGTGTGAATGAATCGATGTCATAAAAATCTGATGAGGCGGCGGGCTATTCTAACATCACTACGACCACAGATCGATCAGTCAGACCATTATAATGGTTCCCTTACTTGGTTTAAAAGAAACATTAGCTAAAACAATTCCTGTGATTTGGCTGTTTCTCCTGAAACAATATTTTGTTCTAATTGCATTGCTTAGATGTTCTCTTACATTTGAAATTTAATTTATAGGCCTGCAACAGCCCTTCTGTTGTGTTCACGTGTGTATAAACTATATGCCGAGTGAAATGTGTGTTTTTTATCAGCTGTGTGTGTGTTCCAGTAAGGCATTTGTGATGACAGAACTTTCTAACACATACTAACTATGTCTATCTAACACTAACTATATATGTGTTGAAGAGTAGTAGGTGTGAATTAGGGCACAGGTAAGCTTAGCCAAAGAAGAAACCTCCTGAGAGATAGCCTTTCGACACATTGGCCACTTTCTGCAATCTTTTAAGTTCTTTTGAGTGACTGCTGGCCTATGAGTTTTCTTTTCGAACCCTCACCTACCCTGTTTCACTCAGGCCCACCCACTGTTCGATTTCTAGCCTCGCTACTGATCATATGAGGAACAAAACACTTTGGGATGTGCTGTTATAAGACAAATAATCAACTTCGGGGTGGTAACGGTACCTCTGCTTCATGTGAAGTGAAGTGACGTGGCCAAGTACGGTGACCCATACTCGGAATTTGTGCTCTGCATTTAACCCATCCAAGTGCACACACACCCGTGAACACACACCTGGAGCAGTGGGCAGCCATTTTAGCTGCAGTTGGGGGATCGATGCCTTGCTCAAGGGTCTCACCTCAGTCGTGGTATTGAGGGTGGAAGAGAGCGCTGGTCATTCACTCCCCCCACCTACAATCCCTGCCGGACCCGAGACTCAAACCCACGACCTTCGGATTCACTTTCGGGTTACAAGTCCGACTCTCAGACCATTAGGCCACAACTGCCCCCTAATGGTCCGAGAGGGTCACATTAGCCAGCCCCATTGTTGATCTTTTTTTCCTAAAGCAGCATACCCTCGAGTGTTTTATTCCTCTTATACCACAGCAACTTGTGATGCTTGCATTATCAGATTCCTGTTAGAAATATGTTTTTTTTCATACTACAGGATCATTCCAGCAGACCTTCTTAATAGGTATGAATAAAGTTGATATTTTGGTCCCATGACATTTGCAGCATTTTGGCAGACACCCATATCCACAGCAATTTACATTTATCGCATTTCTACATCTGAGCAGTTGAGGGTTAAGGGTCTTGCTCAAGGGCCCAGCAGTGGCAGTTTGGGAGTGCTGGCGTTTGAACTCCTGACCTCCTGGCTAGTAGATCGACATTTTAACCACTGAGCTTCCACTGCCACATGCTGTGTTAGGACACGAAACCAAAACCCTTTTTCCAGTTGTTTTTACCATAATGTCACACTGGACTTCTTGAAAAGAAATAACGTAGTCTAGAGGCATTTTAGGAAACAACCTTAATTCATAAATAACAAAACAAAAAAAAATCAGTGCAGCTATAGTTACAGCCACATCAATTCTGGTCATGACATCTTTAAATGATCCACACGATCAATACTGTTTAATATTGGGGAATTTCATCATTAATATCACATATTCAACACTGACCCGTTGCTAATAGTTATATATTACAATATGGACCAGGTTCCTCCAGAAAGAAATGCTCTTTAAGATGGCCTTTGTGGGGTCACAGACTCTTGCCACATGCAGTACTGAGCTTCTTACTCTCTCCGACGGATGTAGGGGAAAGTATGGTTAGCTGTAATCAGGGTCACTTGTAACATTGACTGTTGTTCCAATCAGCATCAAGCTACAGTGGTGACGCTCGCCCTGCACATGCTCAGTAGCATCCTCTGCCTGCCTGCATAAGAACAGCAACTTCATTGCAGCTCTTGTCAGATTTTGAGCTATGAAAATGTTCTTCATTTGGAGAAAGTTTTGAGGTGTGTGTTCATTTTTTTTTTTTTAGGAAAATGAAACTAAACTAGACAAGTTCTATTTCACCCTTCCTAACCTCCAGGAGCAGTATCTAACACCTAGATATGCTCTTGTGTGTGTGCACATGCATGCCAAGACCTTCAGCAAATAAAGTCAAGTAAATGCCTTCACACCACATCAGTGCTTCTCCTTTTCTCTACTTGCCCATGTGCACATGCCAGACTGATTGTAGATTTTGGAGCTATTCTGTGCAGCTTGTGACTACAACATAGGAGCATGTGCGTCCCTCAGATTCTACAGCTATCGCTGCCTTGCTGATCCATTTTCTGTGCACTGTGTCATGGGTTTGAGCCCCACGCTGGTTGCCAACCCCAGCCACTGTGGGTGCGCAGGCTAGTGCACTCTCAGTGCTGGTCCCAAGCCTGGATAAATGGGGAGGGTTGTGTCAGGAAGGGCATCTGGTGTAAAACCTGTGCCAAACCAATATATGGACGATGGAAGGTGACCTGCTGTGGCGACCCCTAATGGGAGCAGCCAAAACAACAACAATAAGCCTAATGAATATTCTACTTACCACCATCCCATGCTGACACACATAAAACATAACTATAATTTACGTTCACCTTGAGGACTTTATTTAAATAACGTTGTAAAAAACAGTACTGATTAAAAAGAGTGATGTTTCAAGATCATATATTTGGTGTCGTTACTCAAGCCTGTACTTGAGCAATTGTGTCATATTTGAAACTGCATCTTATCTGAAAGTAGCTCATAGATAATATCATAATGTCATGACGTCAACCTTTTCGTTATAAATCCACTAGATGGCAATAAAGCACTTCGTTGCAGTGCTCTGGTTTAGAAAGCCACACAGTCGACCCCCAAAACTCCTACAAACCCACATGAAGTCAAAACCGACCTGACCATACAGTTACAGTTTTACACCAAAAATTGATAGTGAAAATCAGAAACCTCAGATTGAGTTACGTGATTAATTCTCATTCCAAAAACACAGCCTTAAGCCTAAATGTGCGTTTCTAAAATAGGCTTTTCCATGTAGCATCCCCGGTCAATAAGTATTACTTAACAGGTAACACAGCCTAAACCAGGCATTCTTAAATCTTTCAGAATCAAACATGAATCTATTTTGCAAAAATATTTAGAAAAGGTAAAAATGGTGTTGAAAATTCATTCAATCATCTCCAGTAACCGCTTTATTCTGGCCTGGGTCACGGTGGATCCGGAGCCTATCCCTGCAACGCCGGGAGCAAGGTGGGACAATTCAGCCCAGATCAGACACTAGTCCATCACAGAGCATGCACTTACACATTCACACACTCATTCACACCTAAGCGCAATTTAGCATAAACAAATTCGCCTACCTGCGTGTTTCTGGACAGTGGGAGGAAACCAGAGAACCCAGAGGAAACCCATATCAGGAGAACATGGGAAAATTCGCACAGACAGTAACCCCGTTCTCAGGATTGAACCCAGGACTCCAGAGCTGTGATGCATGTTTAATAATAATAATAATAATAATAATAATAATATATTTTACATATTGTTTTTACAGTTGTGACATTGACACTTGCTGCAATACTCATGAGTTGAAAATCACAGCCCTAGAGACTGACCAATTTTTGATGGTCTTTTTTTTTATACAGCTGCTCGTAAAGATTTGTGCACTGCATGACAAATTTATGTGTAGCCAGTGCACTTTTTCTGGTGACAATGTTTTTTTCCTCTTGTCATCAGTCAAGAAGTAAGACAAGTGCTATCAAATGTGCTTTCCCAAATACTGGAAAATGTGTGACCCTAAAGAGCACCGCGGCTCCGTGAAAGCACATTCTGAACTGCCCTTGAGTAGTATGAGGAATTGCTTTTGATGCATGCTGGCATGAAATGGCCTGGGATATTCATATATTCATGAAATCTATGTAAGAGGAATTATTGCAATTGTCCAGACTCCTCTTCAGGCCAGTTCAAAAGGCACAGTTTAATTACTGCTTTGATTACTGATATTTCATGTAAGCATAATGAAAGATTGCCCTTGGGCTGACAGGATATGATCACTACTGGAGATCAAACATCGTAAAGAAACAAGGGACATGTCCCAGAAGCAAAGGAAGGACTGTACATCAGGAAGCTGTTTCTGCTTTATTCAAAAGTGACTTGCAGACTACACTCTACACAGATCTGTTAAAGGACCAGCCAGTGATACAAGTGGTGCAAGACTAATTTTACACCTATTAGAGCAGGAAGGATGCACAGAGATTTTCGTGGCTAA